ATGTATGCGGGGCTGAGCTGGTAGCTTGGGATGTGCACCCTCCCTCCCCCTACACACACACACACACACACACACACACACACACACACCCCGAGTGTGGATGGAATCCCAGAGCCAGTGAGGGAAGCTAACTGCGGACTGGGGGCTGATGGAAGTTCATGTCTTTTTTTTTTTTTTTTTTTTTTTTTTTTTTGCTTTTTGGGTCACACCCGATGATGTTCAGTGGTTACTCCTGGCTTTGCACTCAGGAATTACTCCTGGCGGTGCTTAGGGAACCGTATGGGATGCTGGGAGTCGAACCCAGGTCTGCTGCATGCAAGGCAAACACCCTACTCGCTGTGCTATCGCTCCAGCCCTGTTCATGTCATTTGAGATGAGTCCGCAGGGATGGGGTGTGAAGGGCAGGAGAGCTGGCGGACCAGAATGTGGCACCAGAAGGCACCCAGCCAGGCAGGGAGAAGAGGCAGCGTCTGGAGGCGATGGGGACATTCAGCTCGGTTCTGCGTCCTCCTCCATGCCGGAGAAGGGCTGAGGGCCGGTGCCTGGAGCAGCCTGCGGGGTCTCTGCTCTCGGTGTCTCTACCCTGCAGCGGGGAACCCCAAAAACAGAGACCCTAGGTGCAGAGAGGCCCCTAGTGGGCCTGGGTGTGGCCACCAGGCTTGAATCTGTTTTTTTTTTTTTTGACTATTTGGGTCACACCCAGTGATGCTCAGGGGTCACTCCTGGCTCTGCACTCAGGAATTACTCCTTGCGGTGCTTGGGGGACCTATGGGATACTGGGAATCGAACCCGAGTCGGCCGCATGCTAGGCAAACGTCCTCCCCGCTGTACTATGACTCCAACCCCCAGGCTCGAATCTCTTGCAAAGAGGGAAGGGGGTCTGCATAGCTGACCTTGGAGGGCAGATTCAGTGACCTTCCCGCCCAGGAAATTCCCAGGGCATTTCAATAGCGCAGAAGCCATGATCATAAAGCCAGAAGCGAGGACCATCAGGAAGGGGGTCGGGTTCGGGAGAGCTGGGTCCCTGTGAGGCGCGCCCTCCCCCGGGACCCCCCACCCAGGGCGGCGGGTTTTCGGGGGACAGAAGAGGCGAGACACCTGCGCGCTGCTGTACACGGCCTTTTCTTTGTTGTCATGGTTTGGTACGTCTTTAGCATCTGTGTCATACAGAGTGGGGGAGCGACAGCCATGGCTTTTGGTCAGGTTCGGGGGGGCGTGGAGGGGGTCCCTCCCCTCCCCCCAGGCACTGACACATGTAAAGGAAGCAGTGGGACACACGGAACACAGCACAGGGGTCCGGGGGAGCGGGATGGTCGTCCTCCGCCACTGCCGAGGGGCTGTCCCGAGGGCGCCCCTCACCTCCCTGCCAGGAGTGGGGGGGGCACCAAGAGCGGGGGAGAGGGAGGGACCTGTCCCCCACATCCCGTCAGTCTGCCCCGGAAGAGGGTGACCCAGCCGGTTGGCAGGAGGAGTGGACAGCGGCCCCCAGTCACGGGGTGCCAGGGTTCTGGAGGTGAGGGTGTGTCCGGTCCTACCCCCAGGGCTCCAGGCTGGGGGGGCGTGTTGGGTGGGGGCGGGTGGCCGTGTGGTCCAGCTCCGGGGCAGCTGGGTGGGATTCTGACCCCCGACTGGCGCTTCCTCCCCTGGACGTGGGTTCACTCACTTCTCTCTGGCACCCTCAGCCCGGAGAAGCTGGGTCCCCACTGTGTGCAGGAGAGACGCCCACCACCCTAGCTTGGTTGGGCCCACCCGGCCAGCTTCAGGGTGTGGCGGGGAGGCGGGACGACCCCCAGGCCAGGCCCAGGCGCTCGGGGGTGGTGGTGATACGCACGTGTGTCTATCCCCACCCCAGTCTCCTTTCCTCAGCGGCCCTGTAACAAGACTTCCTTGTGGGACGCTGTAGCCCCAGGCACGGAGTTTGCCGCTCAGCCCCCTCCCAGCCAGTGGGCCCACAGGCTTCCCGCCCCCGGTGCCTCCTGTCCCTCTCCACGTCCGTGGCGCACACACGCTCCCACGCTGAGTCTCTCCACAGTCAGGAGTGACAGTTCTTATATCCTCCCTGACCCAAGAGGGATGGGCCAGGTGTGTTCCCCGCTGACATCCTGGCCCCGCTGCCTCCTCCAGGAAGACCTCCAGGCCTGCTGCTAGGGTGCCAGCCGGATGCTGGAGGCATCGGGGTCTGCCCCTGTCACAGGGGCGGGAGTGCTCAGAGAGTATCAGGAATGCCTTCTGAGGGTCCAGAGCCCCTCAGGCCTACTGGGGAGATCTAATGCGCCAGAAGCTCCCACTGCCCCTCGGGCACTCTCCACCCCAGCATCAGCTCTGGGGTCCACGAGCCCCAGGCCAAGGGGGTTCTGAATGCTTGGACCTCGGTGCGGGTGGTGGGGAGCTCCCGCAGGGTCTGGGGTCCCTGGACCGGGCCCCGCCTTTCTCGGATGTGACACCCCAGGGCTCCCGAGAACGACCATCCTACCCGGGGTAATAGACACAGACAAGCAGACAGCGGGGGTGGGGGGTGTGCGTGGCCCCCCATCACAGACACGGGTCCCCTAGGGGGGCAGAACATGGGGGCACTGGGGAGGGGGCAGCGCAGGGGGGAAGGGGAGGTTCGGGGCACGGGGGCCGCTGCGGGCCCGGGTGCCGGAGAAGGGACAGACCAGGAACTTTTTCTGGTTCCCTACACACGTGGGTTGTTTGTCTCGTCTGGAAAGTATTGCAGTCTAACTGATATGGCTTTAACTATTGGAAACGGACAGAGAAGACACGCGTCTGTCTCTGAAATAAAAGCATAAATCCACTAACATGGAAAAAACCTGCAGAATGCACACGGGGGGTGGGGTTGAGAGGGGGGCTCTGGGGCAGGGGTGCCAGGGACAGGCAAGTCGCCCCCTCCCCTGGCCCCTGTGTTTGGGGGCAGGCCCGGGTGCGGGCCCAGCATGGCTTCTTGGGGCACTGCCTGGGTCTGGCCCAGGGGGTCTCGTGGGCCTCAGGCAGGAACCCCCCACGGGCGGGGAGGACGTGAGGCCAAGGACAAGGTCTCCTGGGGGATGCGGCAAACTGGCCGCCCAGTGTCCTGGGCCCACAGGGGCATCTCACCCATGTTCTTTCTCACACGCAGGGCCACTGCATGTGCGCATGTGCACACATACCCACACACAGACACAGACACGGACACACAGACACACACACACACACACACACACACACGGTGCCGCCCGAAGCTTCTCCTGGGCACACACTTTGCTCCTGACCCGCAGGTGGACCCGAACACACTCACACAGACAGGCCGACATGGACAAGCCCTGCCCCCGATGACATGGTGTCACACATCACATACCTCGGACTCAGCCTTCAGTCTGGCAGACAGACCCCCGCCAGTGAGCCGCACCCCCGTCCACTCAGACAGACCCCACAGAAACCCCTTCCAGCAGCAGGCTCCCCCCTCCAGCCGGCAGACCCCCACCGGCAAGCCTGGAAGGCTGCCTGACCTCACAGTCTGATCCACAGTCCCCAGCACAGGGCCATGGGGGGTCCACACGTGCAGGCTCAGCTGGGGGGTGATAACTGACACACACAGAGACACGTGTGCACACGTACACTCAGCCTCATGTTAAACCTCAAGACAGGATTACATGACCAATACACACACGCACACACACACACAAATACAACCTCAGGACAGAATTATGTTGACTAAACACACACACAGTCTCAAACGAGGATGACGACGGCTAACACACATGCGACTAATCTCAGGACAGGTTTAGGCTCACAGACACACCCTCATGCACGCATGCACACACCCACGCACTCCAGGACAGAATTATGCTTACACACACACACACAAACGCGTGCATGCGCGCGCGCACACACACACACACACACAAACGCGCACACTTTCCCAGGACGGGATCCATCCTGTGGCACGTATTTCCTCACCAACGCTCTTCTCTGGCCCCACGCTTGCTGCCACCACAGTCTGTGCCACACATCTGCTCTGGGCTCCGCCACACTCCTCCCCACTCCCAACCCCACACACCATCTGAGCAGGAGGCCTTGACAATCTGGGGGTCAGAGGAACACCCCCCCCACACACACACACACGCACACACACATCCCAGAGGAGAGTTTGTTCTTGGCCAGTGCGATGAGTAGACGGATGCCCTCTGTCCAATGGGAATTGGCTTCTTCCCCCAAAGGCTTGGGGCTGTGGCCAGGAAGGGTCCCCCTGGGACCGCGGGGCCTTGGAAGCACATGGACAGGGCAGGAAGAAGGAACGGGGGTGGGGGGGATGGGGGCAGTTTGGCTGTGCCGATGGAGGGAGGGTCCCATGGCACAGGCCTTCGCTGCCCAATGGCTCCAAGTTTCTTGGGGGGACGGGGGGGTTGGCTCGGGAAGCCCCTTGGCTGGGCAAGCAGGGCCTAGCCTGGCAGTGGGGCCCCTGGGCCTAAGTTGGGAGGGAGGTGGAGGGAGACTCGGGGCTGCCCTCCCCTGGGCCCCCCACCCACCTTCCCCAAATAAAGTCCAAAGAGGATCCATTTGGAGGGACTGGCTTGGCAGGAGTTATGCCTCTTTGGTGGGCGGGGGTGGGGTGCGGGTTCAGGGCTGGGTGCCAGACGGGGAGGGGAGAAGGAGATCCCCCCAGCCTCCTGCCCAGAATCCAGGCCAGGCCTTCCCTGACTCACGGGGAGCCAGGCCACCAGCACCCCGCCCTGACCTGGGGGCGAGGCCAGAGGTCAGCATGCTGGGCAGGGCTGGAATGTGCCATCGCTTTGGCTGGCTGGGGACAGCGGTCCCTCCTGGCAGTGGGGTGCATGAAGGAATGTATGGGGGTCACCACGTCATCTTACAGCTTCGGCTTCTTGGAGTGGGGAGGGGGGTTGTCAGTGCCGGGGGGGCACCGGCTTCTCCCCCCCCATCCACACCACCAGCACCCCTGCTGGGGGAAAAGCAAACTTCCCTTCTTCGGGCTGCTTGGGAAAGAGGTGGGGGCTGCAGACCCCGGGAATGCAGGGGAAGGGGTGCTGAGGAGGAGGAGCCCCTGGGAAGGGGTTGGTGGGGGGGGGCAGAGGCCAACTGATGTTTCCCCCCTTCAGAGTTGAGACAGAACTGAAGAAAGAAAGAAAAGAAACACCCCTCCCCCCGCCCCCCCCAAAAAATAATGAAGTGGCGCAGGGCTGGGGCCTGGCGGCGCATTACTTCTTGAACATGTCCTGCAGCGGGCCGGGCAGGTACTTGAGGACCGTGTCCAGGATGCTCTCGTCCTCCTCCTCCTCCTCGTCCCCGCAGCCCGCCGGGATGGCCTTCTTGGGCCGGGTCAAGCTTCCCTCGCAAGGCTGCTCCAGGGCCGCCTTCTCCTCCGCCTCCTTTTCCTCCTTCTTCTTCAGCCCATACTGGGGGTGGGGGACGGAAAGAGAAGGGGGTCACTGTCATGGGGGGGGCAGGGGGCAGGGCCCACCAAGCTCCCTTCTTTGGAAGGGACCCTGCTTGCAGTCAAAGACTCCGTGAGAGTTTAGCCTTCTGGAGACGGAACGATAGCCCAGTGGGGAGGGCACTTGCCTTGCATGTGGCCACCCCGGGTTCGACGCCCGACATCCCCTGGGGTCTCCAAAGCCCCCACTAGGGGAGAACTCTGAGCATGTAAAGAATGCTTGCTCGGGTTCACTTCTCTGCCCCTTCCAGATCCCTCTCACTACCCTCTGAGAACATACACTACGGCACTAAGTTTGAAGCCCATTTTATTATTTTTTTTTGGGGGGGTGGGCATCCCCAGCCATGCTGAGGGCTAACTCCTGGCTCTCCACTCAGGGATCACTCTTGGCAGTGCTATGGGATGCTGGGGATCAAACCTGGGTAAGACCGTTTGCGAGGCCAGTGTCCCCCCTGCCTACTGGCTGTACCGTCGCACCGGCCCCATGGAGCCCAATTTGTGACAAGCCCGGACTTAAACATCAAGGAACCTGGACGGGTCACCCTGGAGGGACCACAGTGGCATTGGACAGCAGTGGGAACTTCACTGGGAGTGATGGGGGGCAGTGCCAAGCGCTCAGGGCACTGGGGTGCTTTCCCAGCTCTCTTCCAGCTGAGGGGTCCCTAGGCTTTGGGGTGGGATGTCTCGGGAGCTAGAGCAGCCAGCGTGGGGGGGGGGGGCGACCAGGTGCATTCGCTGAATTAATTCCCAGTTCTTGTCTGGTGACACCCATTTTTCTGACGAAATTGAGGCTCGGAGAGGGTGTGAGCCCAAGGGGGTGTGCTGGGATTCAGGGGAGCCTCAGGGCCTGGATTAGTAGCCACCGGTCTTAGCTCTTTGCATTGGGAGGGCCCCATTGGGGGGGGTCTCCATATTGTTTGGTTTGGGAAGGGCTGGTGTTTGGTGTCTGGGGACTATGTCTGGTGGGGGGGGTTGGGGGTACAAGGGGGGAGAGCCAATGTACAGCGGGTGCAGGGCACTTGCCTGGCACAGGGCGACCCAAGTTTGATCACCTGCACCCCTTACGGCGCCCGAGCACTGCCAGGAGTGATCCCGGAGTGCAGAGCGAGGAGTAAGCCCTGCGTGCCCCTGGATGTAGCTCCCCCCCAAAAAAAATCCCCCCAAATAAATAAATATCCAGTAACGAGAACCTCCTGCTTGCAAAGTAGGCCCTGCAACCCGCGACGCCCTTTGGGGAGGTGGGGGGCGTGGTCGTGGTGGTCTCACCTTGTCTCGGATTTGCTGCCGGACCTTCTCGCGCTCGGCCTCCATGCGTGCGTGCTTGGCCTTGCGCTCCTCCTCCTGCTGCCGCAGTGCCTCCTGCCGCTCCTCCTCCTTCTTCTGCGCATCAGGGTCCTTCTCCTCCTCGCCCCCCAGCATCTTTCCCATGTCCTTGGTGGCCCCTATGGAGGTGAAGGGAGGGGTGGGCGGGATCAAAGCCCTGGCCCCGCCTCCTTGCTGCCCCAGGGGCGGAGACAAGGGTGTGCTGGGCGGAGCCTTGCATAGCGGGCGGAGTCTAATGCGTCGTGGGTGGGGTCCAGTGGGTGGTGGGCGGGGCTTTGTGTAGTGGGCGGAGTATAGTGTGATGGGTGGGGGCTCGTGTGTGGTGGGCGGGGCTTTGTGTGGTGGGCGGGGTTTTGTGTAGTGGGCAGAGCATAGCGTGTGATGGGTGGAGTCTTGTGTGTGCAGGGTCTCGGATTTGCTGACGGACCTTCTCGCGAGAAGGTCCCAGGGTATGCAGGGCAGAGTTCAATGCGTGGTGCACGGATTTATTGCATTGTGGGCAGGGCCTGCGTGGTGGGCGGGGCCTTGGGTCCAGCTGGACTCTCACCTCCCAGGGCCTGCTTCATAACGAAGTCCATGATTCCGGCTCTGTTAACAGTGTGGCCTCACTGGCAGCTGGATTGGCGTGCAGTGCTCCGGGAAAGCTGGCTTCAGGGTCACGTGGCAATCTGAACAGAGGAGGGGGCAGGATTCAGATGGGGGGTGGGGGTGATGGCAGCTGCTGAGGCCCAGACCCCCTCTGGCCCCTGCTGTACCGTGTCAGCCACCTCTGTGCTGGCAGGTGGAGATCAAATGCCGATAGAAAAATGCTCATCGAGGGCTCAAGTGATACTGTGGCATCCAGGGCGCTTGCCTTGCAGGTGGCTGACCCGGGTTTGATCCCCAGTACCCCATAGGGTCCCCCGAGCACCTCCAGGAGTGATTCCTGAGTGCAGAACCAGGAGTAAACCCTGAACACCACCGAGTTGTGACCAAAACCCTGCTTGCCTTGCAGGTGGCAGCAGTGGCTGCCATCCTGGTTGAAATACCTTGGGCCACTGCTAGAGGCTCTTCTGAGCACAGAGCTAAGGACTTGCCCACTGAGCATCACTGGGTGCAGAGCCCCAGCCCGCCCCCTAAAACCAAAACCAAACAAAATGTCTCATCTCAGGCGCGAGAGATGCAGGTCAGGGGCCGATCCCAGGTACACAGCGCCCTACCAGCATTGTTACTGTGCCTTCCCCCAAACCAAAAATGAGTAGAGAAAGTAAAAGAAAGTAAATCCTCGTCTGGGAGGAAGAGAAGAAGAGAGGCTAGGGGGCTGAAGTAATAGTACAGCGGGTAGGGTGTTTGCCTTGCATGCAGCCAAGCTAAGTTCAATCCCTGGCATTTCATAGGGTCCCCCGAGCACCGTCTGGAATACTTCCTGAGTGTAGAGCCAGGAGTAAGCCCTGAGCATCGCTGGGTGTGACCGCAGAAAGCTGAGAGAGAGAGAGAGAGAGAGACAGAGAGAGAGAGAGACAGAGGAAGGGAGATAGAGGGCGGGGGGAGGGAGGGAGAGAGGAGAGAGAGAGAGAGAGAGAGAGAGAGAGAGAGAGAGAGAGAGAGAGAGAGAAGGCCTGAACCCCTACCTTGACCAGAATAGATACCTGGAATGTTCCAAAGAAGCAGAAAGTTGGAGTCAAGGGGTGCAGGTGGGGTGGAGGTGAGAATTAAGCCCACGGTAATCCAAGGGCTAGACCAATAACCCACTGCCATGGGGCCTTGAGGCCTTCACCTCTTTTTTTGGGGGGTCGGTCACACCCACACCCATACCCACACCCAGTGGTGCTCAGGGATCACTCCTGGTGGGGCTCAGGACACTATGCTATGGGGTTTTGAACCTGGGTTGGCTGTGTGCAAGGCAAGCTCCCTCCCCACTGTGTTACTGGCTGGGAGGTTGGCTCCCGTCTTTACCTTCTTGCAGCTGAGAGGACAGTGCCCCAGCCCCTGGGAGTGCCAGCTGAACCCCCCCACCCCCGGTGCCTGTGGATAGGGGGTTAGCGAGCAGACCCATGGCATAAACAGACCCAGACTTATGAAATGCGCCACATGGAGAGATGAGCCCTTTCAATGTGGCGTGCATGTAAGTTGCGCCTTTTATAGCTTCCTATTGATTTCCCATTGCAGTCAGGGCCGAGGTTGGCGCCATCATTCTCGGCTGGGATCTTTCACGTCCCCACCTCGAGGCCCTGCAGGCTGTCAACTAACTCTCCTTTCCCGCTCCCTAAATCACCAGCTCTCCTCTTTTTTACAATGCCTCCCCCCTCCTCCTACTTTTATTGTATTTCTCCTTTGGCCTCCCGAGATGTTCTCCAGATACAGCCTTCACGGCCACGTCAATATATGGAGTCGATAAAAGTGGAAATGTTCATGGGCGTCTGGGGATTTGGGCTGGTTTATTTGTTTGGGGGGCCAAACCTGGTGACACTCAGGGCTGACTCTTGATTCTGTGCTCAGCGATTACTCCTGGGGGTGCTGGGGTGGGAGTGGGGGGTGTGGGACGCCAGAGATCAACCCAGGTCAGCCACAGGCAGATCAGGCAACTTTCTTGCTGTTCTCTCTCTCTCTCTCTCTCTCTCTCTCTCTCTGTTTTTGTTTATTTTTTTTGCGTTTTGGGTCACACCCAGCGATGCACAGGGATTACTCCTGGCTCATGCACTCAGGAATTACTCCTGGTAGTGCTCAGGGGACCATATGAGATGCTGGGAATCGAACCTGGGTCAGCCGTGTGCAAGGCAAACTCCCTACCCGCTGTGCTATCGCTCCAGTCGCTCCAGTCTCTCTCTCTCTCTCTCTCTCTCTCTCTCTCTCTCTCTCTCTCTCTCATATTCTCTCTGTCTCTCTCTCATATTCTCTCTGTCTCATTCTCTCTGGGCAGCCCAAGTGCTCTTTGTGGGACCAAAGACGTAGGACGGGGGCAAGGTGCTTGCCTCACAGTTTCCTTGAACACTTACAGGGCAGTCGATCAGTTGTTTGCGAGAGGGAAGAAGCAGGGCCGGGAGAAATGCCTCCCCAGCGACTTTAGCATTAGACACACTCGGGCTGAAATCCTGACTCTTAAAATTTAGTGCCTGTGACGCCCTGGGAAGGCTGCTGGCATTTATTCCGTGGCACAACCCGCATATGGGGAAGGTGACCTCGGCACATAGTCAGGTCGAGCTGGTGTCACTGACGACCTTTACTGACGTCGACTATCACGGTTCGGTTCGTTTAGGAAGTAGGTGCCCCAAAGGGACAGGATGTTCAGGCCATGGAGTGGGGTGGGAGGGGGATGAGGGTCCCCACTCTAATTAAATAGGAAGACAGCTCCCTTCCCCAGCCCCTCCAGAACCCCTCCTGGGACCCCGAGCATGGAGGGAAATGGTTGCCCTTGGGCCAGGACAGGAAGTGTAATAAAGCTGCTGATTTTCAGAATGGACCCCCGGGGGCCAGAGCGATAGCCCAGCAGGGAGGGCGCTTGCACATGGCCCACCGTGGTTTGAGCCTTAGCATCCCCTAGGATCCTCCACATACCACGAGGAGTAATTCCTGAGCACCGGGGTCTGCCCCCCTCCCCAAGTAAAAGAACAGGGTCCTGAGTCGTCCCCCTTTGTTTCCTGGTGGCCCCAGTAACTGCCAGGGGGCCGTGGGAGGGAACTGGCTCCCTACCATACAGTTTGGTCCCCGGGCACCTCGACTGGCCCTTCAGCCTCCTTCCCCTTCCCCCTGGCACCTGAGGCTTCTTTGTTCCTTTGTGTGTGTGTCCCCACCACAGCCCCCCAACCTCCCAGGGTTTCTGCAGCTTTGAATGATCTCCACCCCACAGGATCCTCAGAACCGTCCTGCTCCCTTAACTCACTTCTTCCATCTCCCCGTCACTGTCTCCACCAATACTGTTTCCTTCCAACGGCAACTTGCTTCCCAGAACTCAGACCCCAGGGGCCAGAGAGGTAGTACAGTGGACAGGGCACTTGCTTTGCACGTGGCCAACCCGGGTTCGATCCTCGGCATCCTAGAGGATCCCCTGAGAACACCAGGAGTGATCCCTGAGAGCAGAGCCAAGAGTCAGTCTTGAGCGCCGCTGGCTGTGGCCCCAAAACCAAAAACCGGAGCAGAACTCAGACCCCGACTCCTCTGACTTTTTTTTTTTTTTTTTTTTTTTTTTTGCTTTTTGGGTCACACCCAGCGATGCTCAGGGGTTACTCTGGGTTCTGCACTCAAGAGTTACTCCTGGCAGTGCACGGGGAACCCTATGGGATGCTGGGAATCGAACCCGGGTTGGCCACATGCAAGGCAAATGCCCTAACCTCTGTGCTATCACTTCATCCCCTCCTCTGACCTTTCTGGGGGGACACACGTTCTTCCGAGAGGCTATGTCCTTCAGCCCATGATACTGAACACATGGTTTTTGTGGACTTTTTCTCCTCTTTTTGGGCCACATCCGGCAGTGGTAAGGGATTTCTCCCAGCTCTTCACTCAGGAATTAATTACTCCTGGCGGTACTTGGGAGACCCTACTGGATGCCAGGGATTGAACCTGGGTTCAAAGCAAAGTGCAAAGCAAGTGCCCTCCCTGCTGACTAGTGTTTGGCCCGTCACTGAATACATCTTAGCTGGGCTTCAGGAATACCCTGTGCCACCCCCCCTGCCCCCTATGCCCCGTTCTGACATGAATTGGAAACCCACCCACCCCACTGTATCCCAGGCAGTGTGCTAAGGCACTGCTGACCAGAAAAACAAAATGGGGTTCTCCAGATTGTGTTCTGCAGTGGTGTGGAGAGGAGGCAGGTTTTGAACTGGGAATAAAAGTGTGTGTGTGTGTGTGTGTGTGTGTGTGTGTGTGTGTGTGTGTAAAGAAGCAATGAATAAGCCAAAAGAAATACTCAGGGACCTACGTGGGAGATTCTCAAAGGTCCAGAGCACATCAGGCCCTGAGTTTGATCCCCAGCACTGCATGGTTCCCTACCCCCCCCCCCCCCGCCCTCAGCACTGTTGGGTGTGGCTGGAACCCCACCCATACACACACACACACACACAATTCTCTCTCTCTCTCTCTCTCTCCCCCCCCCCCCCCCCCGCCCCTCCTGTGTCCTAACATTGAACCTGTCAGCTCAGTGGGCCAGAAGTGGCTTCCAGGACTCCTGAGAACTGCTAAGGAGGTATCTCCCACCCACTCCCCCTGCTAAAAAAAGGAAATAGTCCACCTTTCCTCTTGCTCCCTTTACACACACACACACACACACACACACACACACACACACACACCCCTTTCAGATGTCCTGAAAGGCCACTCCAGCCCCACGTGCCAGCTCTCCCACCAGAACATCTGTCTGTTTGGGTGGTATTTAGGGCTTACTCCTGGCTCTGCGCTCAGGGATTATTCCTGCCGGCCCAGCAGAGATCAAAGAACCTTACGGTGGTGCCAGGGATCAGACCTGGGTTGATCTCATGCAAGGAAAAGTGACTTCTGCTATACTATCTCTTTAGGCCCTTCCTTCCTTCCTTCCTTCCTTCCTTCCTTCCTTCCTTCCTTCCAAAGGTTTTTGATTTTGGACCATGTCCAGTGGTGCTCAGGGCTTCCTCCTGGCTCTGCACTCAGGGATCACTCCTGGTGGGGTTCCGGGAACCCTGTGGGGTGCTGGGTATTGAACTTGGGTCAGGCATATGTACGACAGGCACCCTCCCTGTCGTCCCGTTGCTCATGCACAGATCAGTGATTTCTGGGTCACCAGAACCTCTTAACTCAGGTCTTGAGGCATCCCCTGTGTTCTTGGCCTTCCCTTTAACCCGGTGACACCTCCGTTCCTTCCTGGGGTGCAGAGGAAGACTGTGGAGCTCTGGGAACTGACCTGAAAGGAGGAGGGACATTGGGGAGCTAGGTGGTACTGACCAACCCCCCCCCATACCCACCCCAGCCCAGTCTTGGGCGTGCGAGCAGTCGGATGAATGAGAGATGGCCTCTGCAGGGTGCTCAGACTGTGGGGGGCTGTGACTGATGCCAGCTAGTGTGGGCTCCTAGAGCAGCACCCCCCCCATGTCTTCCCCTCCTTCCTGCCACGGGCCCATTCTGCAGCACCTCCTGCTCCACCCCTGAACCCCCTTCCTCACACCTGTCCTCCCCTTTCTGAGCTTCTCCCTCCTCAGTTCTTTCCCCAGGAGACCACACACACACACACACACACACACACACACACACACACACACACGCATGCACGCGCACATATACTTGGTTCCCATCCCTTCTACTCCTCACTAACTCTCCAGTCCTTGGGCTTCCTGGGAGAGCTGAGATCCCTCTCTGCTCAGCTCAGGATGTTTTTACTGCACTGCAGCATGACACCTCCACATCAGCCCCCCCAGGATCCCCCCTTTCTGGAATCTTCTCCTGAATTCTGTAACACAGCTCTCTTGTGCTTGTACCCAGCCCCAAGCTGCTTCAACCACGGGTCATCTCTCTGTCTCTGTGTCTCTGTCTGTCTCTGCCCTGGCTCTTCGTGCCCATCTGAGCAATCTTTTCCCTTCCCCTTTGCTTCAGTCCCTTCCTTTCTCCACCCACGTTGGGGTCACATTGACCACCTCCCACCCCGTGGCATAGTACACTGTCTCGCTGTCCCCACCCAGATGGACACACTTTAATTCTCTGCCCCCAAACTGCCTCATGATTAATCTCAAACGCAGTCATTTTGGGGGGAGCGAGAGTACAACAGGTAAGGTGCTGGCCTTGCACGCGACCCACCCGGATTCGACCCCCGACACCACCCATAGGGTCCCCCGCACTCCTCCAAGGAGTGATCCCTGAGTGCAGAGCCAAGAGGACCCCCTGAGCACAACCGGCTGTGCCCCACCCCCAAAATCAAGATTTAGTCATTTTGAAGGTACCAGGGATCGAACCTGCATCCCCCACCCTCCATCTCCCGGCACTGAAAGCTCCATCTTCCCCACACCCCCCCCGACCCCCTCCCCCTCCACCAGGCTCCCTGCGTGGAAACCTCCACAGCGTGCAGCCGCCTCACCCACCCCTCCTTCCATTCCTGCCTAAAAATCTAGAATGTTCCCCCCTCCCCGCACCTCCCCCTCCGGTCCCTGGTCGCTGTCCCTAGAGGGAGCTGTCCTCGGAGACAGTACTCCTGCAAGTTTGGGGAGGGGGGTATTGAGGGAGAAGCTGGGGGGCAGACATCACCTCCCTCCCCCCTCCCGGTGCCTCTTCTCCTGCAGCTGCTGAAGGCCGTGAGGTGCTGAGTTGGTGCATCCCCCTGGCTCCCCGCACCGCACCCCTGCCCGCACCCACACCCACACCCGCACCCGCACCCGCACCCGCACCTCCCTCCTCCACGTGGCCGCTGTCTGGTTAATCTCCCAAAGAGACGATTTGCTACCGTGTACAGAGCCTGGAACAGCTCCCCACGGCCTTGTTCAACACACGAGTCCTCCAGACGACCTTCGTGCCCCCCCAGCACAACCCTGCACCTGGGGCTGGGTTGGAGCCGCAGCACCACTGTGGGTTTGGGTTCGAGGTGGGGGGGACTCAGCCTGTGACTTCATTTTTTTTTTTTTTTCCCAATTTGGGCCTCATCCGGGAAACAGAGGCATGGCACGGCGCCGCCCAGGGGGATGTGGTGGATATTCCATTAAGCTCCTGCAGGACTGGGCAGAGATGCCTCCAAGGGCTGGCATGCACATCTGCTAGACCCCAGATCCTAGATTCCATCCCCGGACTTGCAGGGTCTCCCTGATCCCTGCTGACTGACAGCAGACCACCCCCAAACACAACCGCAAAGGGGCCCAGAGCAACAGAGCAGCGGGGAGGGTTGCAGTTCAATCCTCGGCATCCCATAGAGTCCCCTCCAGCCCCGCCAGGAGTGTTCCCTGAGCACAGAGCTAGGAGTTAGCCCTGAGCCCTGCTGCGTGTAGTCCCCAAAATAAAAAGAAAAAAAAAACCCACATAAATAAATAAATAAATAAATAAATGAATGAGCTCTCGAAGTGCGCATCCCAAGGTTTGGTAAGGACTGGGCGTTTGAGGCTCATTGGCGGTGGTCCTTGCTGAGCTGAGCTGAAGCTCTGGTCGCAGAGCGGGTGTCTGTTCCGCCTTTGGTTGTCAAAGGCTCTGTTCTAGCATTAATCGTACCGGGGAAATTTCTCCCGGGAAACGCGGTGCGTTTGAGTCTCCAGGCCCCCCTCCCCCTCCCCCTTCTTCCCGTAGCCCTGTTCTGGGCCCGCAGTGCCTGTTCTCTGGCCAACTGCGTCCCCTCAGGGTCTCTCTGGACGCTGCGGAGGCCCCTCGGACTCATTTTTTTCTCTGAGCCCGGCGTGTGTGCTCTCCCCGGGTCCCTGCGGCATTTGCATGTTGCCGGGGCGTCCGCCCGCCGGGGACGGGAGAGGGGAGCCGTCCAAAGTGTGCTCCGGCACGCCTCGCCGGGCCGGGAGTGAGGCTGCGCGAGCGCGTGTGCGTGTGCGCGCGTGCTGGTGTATGCGTGTGCGTGTGTGTGCGTGTATGTGTGCGCGCGCGCGCGCGCGTGTGTGTGTATGTGAGTGTGAGATGTGTGCGGGCCCTTTGGCCCGCTCTGCCGGTAGGTGCGCGGAGGTCCTGCAGCTTTGCGGACCCTGGAGGGACACGGCCGGACCACCAGGGGGCGCTCCTCGCGCTGCTGCGGGAAGCCTTGATGTGTGTCCCTGGGCAGGAAGGATGGGGTTGGGGTTGGTGGTCTTGATGTTGGAGGTGACGGGGGTCCAGGGGAGGGGGGAGGGGCTGGGACATGGGAGGGGGACCGAGATAGGACGGGGGAAGGGCGTTGTTGCTGCGCCCGTTTACTGTGCGTCCAGCGAGCCGGGGACCCCATTGTGCATTTTTGGGGCCCCCTCCCTTCCCTCAACCCCTTCCTAGCCTGAAAGCTACCGAGGAAGCGTCTTCTCCGGCTTGGTTGTCTGAACCCCAGGGAGGTTTCCGGGCCGGGCCGCCATCTGACAGGCCAATTCGGGCACCTGCAGTATTTGTCCTTGTGTGTTTTTTTTTCTTTTTCCCCTTCTGACTCCCACTCCGGCTTTTTCTTTTTTCTTCTTCTCCTACTCCCCTCACCTCCCCAACTCCTGATCATCCACTTGCTCTTTCTTTTTCTTTCTTTCTTTTTCATTTTTGCTCATGGCTTTGGGTCCCTGCCCCTCACCTCCCACCCCCTGGAAGGGAGGGCTTGGGAGGGGAGATGAAGGGCCAGAGCTGTTGGGGATAGGGAAGGGAACCCGGTTTGCAGAACCGCAGAAAAACGGGAAAGACAAGGAGGGGGCTTCTCACTTCCCCTTTCAGCAGAGCAGGCGCCCTTGGCCCCCGGTGCCCACTGCACCCCCCGTCAGCGCGGCCCTGGACTTCCCAGCCTGGTCCCTCCCAAAGCTCCCCCCACCCCCAACACGCATCCCTCCAACCTGAGCCCCGATCTCAAACTTTGCTGGGGGAGGGGGGTCCGGGAGACGGGCACGGTTCACCGGGGCTCTGTGAGAACAGATTGTCCCGTTGCCCGCGCGCACCCCAACAGTCGACATTTGGGGTTCTCCCCTCCACCTTGGGTCTGTCGGCCCTCCTCCTCCTCCTCCTCTCGCCGCCTCCCGCGGAACCACTCGGGGAGCACAAACTGTACCCCTCCTCGGGGGCGGCTCTCTCCTACCCACTCCACGCCAGGAGCGCCCCTCACCCCCGCCCCCACCCCCAGCTCAGCCCGGCCGCCCTCTGCCCCCTGGCCGCCCTCTGCCCCCTGCGAGCTGCAAGTTGTTCTCTGGATTGACTTGAGTCTCCCGCCGCCCGTCCTCCGCGGGGGGCCCCCCCGTCCTGCGCCGGGGAAGCTGGGCTTGTCTCGGGCTCCTGGCCGGGGCCGGAGAGGGGAGAGGGGGACCCCCGGGCCGGCGCGGCGCCCCCCCAACCCCCGCTCCGGCGCGCGCGACTGTTCCCCCCACCCAGCGGGGAGCTGTCCTTTCAACACCACGGCGAGCGCGCCCGCCCGCCCGGCCCGGGCTGGGGCACTGCACCACCCCCCGTCCCCTGCACCCCACAACCCCCTCCCCACAAGCTCCAGCCATGCCCCCCCGGCTTCCCGGGACCGCCCCGCGTCCTCAGGGCCGGAGCCGGGACCCTGTTGCCCGCGGCTCGGCCCCGCCCTCCCGGCCCGCGGCCAGCACCGACCTGGCGCTCCGGGTCCGGCCCGCTGCAGGCTCCGCGCGGCTGGCGAGGCGGCTCCCGGGCTCTGAGCTCGCTGCTGCCGCCAGCGCCGCGTGCAACTCCGCGGGGCGAGCTGGGGCCCCGGCTGTGCGGGAGGCGCCCTCCAATCCCGCCCCTCTGCCAGGCCCTGACGCGCTCCTGCTCCCCTTCCAGATGGGAAATTCAAATCTCTCTCTCTCTCTCTCTCTCTCTCTCTCTCTCTCTCTCTCTCTCTCTCTCTCTCTCTCTCTCCCCCCATTCTCTCTTCCTCCTTCCCCTCCTGCCCACCTCTCCCCCTTCCTCCCTTTCCCTTCTCCCCTGCCCGCCTCTCCCCAGCCTCCTTCCCCCTGTCTCTTCTCCCTAATTCTCCTTCTCCTCCCTTTCTTTTCTCTCTCCCACCCCTCCAGCCCTTTCTCCCAGCTGCATTTTGCAGCTCGTAAGAACCCAACATTGCAGCTTCTGCAGAAGTGCCCCTGGGCAGGACAGGGCAGGGTAGGGCGGGGCAGTGCTGGGCAAGGTAGGGAGAAGATTGGGGGGAGGGGTCCTTGACAGCTTTAACCACCCCCTCCCCACTCCCACCACAAGGTTCAAAGCTCACCAGTTCAGAAGAGCCCCTTCTGGGGGCTGGAGAGACAGGACAGAGGGGAGGACCTTACGATCCCCGGCATCCCGCTGGGTTCCCCAAGCCCCGCCAGGAGTGATCCCTGAGCACAGAGCCAGGAGTCAGCCCTGAGCACCGCAAAAGTCTCCTTTTGAGAATTCCCTCTGCACTCAGTGGGTCTTGGTTCTCTTCCCTGTCCCCCTGCACCCCTGTTCCTCCCCACTCCCAGCCCAGGGCGAGTTCTCCTTTCTTTAGGTCCTTGCCTTTGGGGAGCTCTTCAGTGACAGGAACTGGACCGGCAGCCCCTGCAGCCTCGAGCCTCTCCCTGGGAAATCTCCCGACTGCAGTACAGAGCCCCCCCCACACACACACACCATAATTGGGAGAGACATGGATAGTCCCCCAGCTCCCTCCAGCTCTTATGAAAATCAGCCAACTTGATTCTGGAAAGACATTTCCTTCTCGGGACAGGGAGGTGAGAAAGGGGAGCCCCACTGGGGGCCTGTCTGCTCCCACCCCCAGCCTTTCTTCCTCCTCCTCCTCCTCCTCCTCCTCCTCCTCCTCGTCCCATCCTCCTTCCTCCCTCCATCCTTCTCTCCTCACCATCCTCTCCATTCTGCCTGCCACCTTTGGGTTCCAGGAACTGGAGTGATAGCCCAGCGGGCAGGGGCTGGCCCTGGTTCGATTCCCGTCATCCCACAGGGTCCCCTGAACCTCGCTGGGAGTAAATCCCTGAGTGCAGAGCCAGGAGGAAGCCCTGAGCACCGCCGGCTGTGCCCCCACCCCAAATCCCACCCACCTTTGGGTTCCAGAAGGCCTTCTCCTGGGGCTGGAGCAGTAACACAGCGGGCAGGGCATTTGCCTTGCACATAGCTGACCCGGGTTCGAGTCCCAGCATCCCAGAGGGGCCCCTGAGCACGGCCAGGGGTGATTCCTGAGTGCAGAGCCAGGAGTAACCCTTGTGCATCACCGAGTGTGACCCAAAAAGCAAAAACAAACAAACAAAAAAGCAGAAGGCCTTCTTCCCTCCAGCCCAAAAGACTTCGGAGGAAAGAGGCCTTGCCCCAGCGACAATGGGCAGCTCCGTGGCCTGGTGGCGCGGGCGTGCCCGGCTCAGCCAGGATGGAGAGGGAGAGGACTGCAGCTTCTGGATGGGGTTGGTCTCCTCCCCGGTCTGGGAGCTGCCAGGGAGAGCTGTGGGGGTTTCCCCAGGCCGGGAGCTGGGAGAGAAAAGAGCGGTTTTGCTCCAAGGAGGCAGTGATGCGTGTGTTGGGGGCGGGGGGAGACTTTTCCATGTAGCTCCGCAGCTGAGGCCTCTGACTCGGGGTGGGAGTCCTCGAAGGCCATGGGCGGCCACACCCTCCTGACTGGAGTTGCTTGGGGAAGCCCATCTCTGGACTGGGGGCTCGGGTGAGGAAGCCCCTTCCTGCCTACACGGGAGCCCTCACTGACTCTTCCTTTGGCACTTTTCTTCCCTTTCCCAACCGGGATGCTCGCAGTGGGGGTGGGGCGCGAGGGGGGGGTCAGGGGGGTTTGATTAGAACGACTCAGCCTGGCCCCTTCTGCCCAGTGGGGGCGGTGGTGGGGGGGAGGGTGTGTTTCTGGGCTGGAAGATGAAAGGGCCATTGTCCCGTCATCCTAAGACCCAGGGAAAGGCCATCTCCTCTGTCTCCTTCTTCCTCCTTTCTGCTGGGGCTTCTTCTACAACCACGGTGCCGTGAATGGCACCCGGCTGGCAACATGCTCGGTACAGTTGATTTTTTTCCACAGCCGGCATTGCCTGGGATGTGGACGTTGACCAAGCTGGGCTGCAGAATCCAATCCAGTCTCCAGAAGCCCCGGGACTGAGTTGCCAGGTGTGTGTGTGTGTGTGTGTGTGTGTGTTTGTAGGATGAGGAGGGTGTAGATCGGCTTGAATGTGGTCCGAAGGGCAGGGAGAAGGGCCCCAGCACAGGCAACGGAAGATGGAGGGTTGAGGGCACTCCATCGGAAGGAGAGAGCATGGGAGAGGTTCGCCTTGGAAGACTTGGCCATTCTCCATGGTGCCGGGCCAAGAAATGATTGGTGGGTGGCTACAGAGTCCGTGCAAGAGAAGTGACTAACTACTCTTTATAATTTTTCCTATTCCTTAGGCCACACCTGGGCATGCTCAGGGCTGATTCTTGGCTCTGTGCTCAGAGATCACGCCTGGCAGGACTTGGGGGACCCAATGGGGTTCCATAGATTAAACCCGGGCCAGCTGCATGCAAGGCAAACACCCTCTCCACTATGCTATAACTCCGGACCCCTCGTTACTCTTTAAAGGAGCTGAAGGGAGAATGAATGAAGGCAACACCGGGCAAAGGGGGATGGGGTGGGGGGTGGGGAGTGGGATCAGGGGAATTTGCGGGACGCAGACAGAAGCATGAAGAGAAGCCTGAGTGATGACAACCCTTAGGGTCCTCCAAGCCAGGAGTGATCCCTGAGCACAGACCAGGAGAAGGCCCTGAGCACTAATGCCAGATGTGGTGGCCCCCCTCCCCCCAAAAAAAAACTAAACTTGAAAGGAATCAAGACCCGCCACCCTAAGGGGGGTTGGCGCTGTCCAGTGGCCGCCAGCGTTGAACCGCTTGGCCTGGCCAGTTTCCCGTCTCCGGAAGTCGAGCAGCTGGACGGCCAGGACCAGCCGAAGCCCCCTTTGAACCCGGGCTCTGGCGAGTCTATAAAAATCCCACACGAGCTGCTCTATGAATCATGTCTGGGGACGCAAAGGACAGCTCAATTATGTTGCGGCGGCTTCCTCCTGTTGAGTGATGAGGGGTCCGTCATGGTGCTGAAGCCATCCAGGCTTCCTGGGGAAGGAGAGGGAGAGGCAGACGGGGCAGGGGGAGATGGGGAGGGGGAGACGGGGCAGGGCGACACAGGCTTCCCGACCACCTGGCCAGCCTGCATGTGCTTCCTGGGGGTCCTGGTGGCAGGGGCGGCAAACTCATGCAAATACTACAAGCATTTCTTTTTTTTCTTTTCTTTGGGGTGGGCGGCCTTGGTTTGGGGGCCACACCCAGCTGTGCTCAGGGCTTACTCCTGGCTCTATGCTCGGGGATCACTCCTGGCTTAGGGGACAATATGGGATGCCAGGGATCGAACCCAGCTTGGCCGTATACTAAGTAAATGCCCTCCCCGCTGTGTTATCACTCCTACCCAGCAGCATTTGCTGTCCCCCTCCTCCCACCCCGGGGCCCCTGCCCTGCCCCTCTGGGGCCACACCCCTCAGTGCAGGGGCTGTTTCTGTCCTCAGGGGTGACCCTTGGCCGTGCTCGTGGAACTCTCTCTGTGCTGCGGGGGATTCAAAGGGGCTTGGAGGGATGGAAGACCTTACAACCCCAGACTCCCCAAAATCTATTTACTTCATTTGTAGCATGCTGTGTGTGCGTGTGTGCATGCGTGTGTGTGTGTGTGTGTGTGTGTGTGTGTGTGTGTGTGTGTGTAGGGATTACACACAGCAGTGCCTGGAATCAAACTGGAGCCTCCAGAAAGCTAAGCGCTCATTCCAGCTTCTTGAGCGATGACCCCACAGACACGTTTCTTAGTGATTTCTTTCCGGGGGAGGACAGTACACCCCGCAATACTCAGAGCTGGCTCTTGGCTCCACACTCAGGGATCACTCAGGCGGGGTCTCGGGGGACCCTGTGGGGTGCAGAGAATGAAACGGGGGTCGGGCATGCGTGCAAGGAACTCGCCCTGCCCCTCTGCTCAGGCCTTGCTCAGGCCTGTGACCCTGGTGGGCAGGGCCTGGAACTGGTCTTCGCTGAGTGGCAGCGTGGTCTGGAAGGCGGGGAACCCTGGCCGAGCTCTGCGTGCAGCGCACAGGGGCCCCTATGGGCTCCTCCCCACCACGGGGGGGGGGGGGGTGCACGGTGCCAGGGGGAGGCCTGGCCAGGCTCACGGGCTGCGGGGGCCAGTGAACGCAGCTTGTGCCTGGAGGGGGCTTGCACCTGTGACTGAGGCACATGAGTGCATGGGACGGGTGCCTGGACTCTCCCGTGTGTGTGTGTGTGTGTGTGTGTGTGTGTGTGTGTGTGTGTGTTTCTCTCTCTCCCCCGCCCCCGCCTACCCCCCACCCCGGTTTCAGAGATTCTGTACCATGGTCCTGGTGATGGTCTATTTCTGGGGTTCTCTATCAGCGGGAGAGAACACGGAGGGCTGTGACCACCATTGGGAGCCGTGTGGTGACCCTGTGTGCGGAATGGGCACACGGGCAGGACAGACCCCCAAGGGAACGCCTGCCCCTCCCTGTCCCTTCCTCTCCCACTGCCAAGGTGACAGGACCTCTGCGTCCCCATGCCTGCCTCGTTGCCCCAGCTGAACCCTGATTCATCGGATGACACAGCTCGGGGGGCCCTGGTGAGCCCCGCGCCCCATCCCGACTCTGCCTGCCAGCCCCGCCAGGCGCCTCTGTCACCGCCCTCTTGTTCCCTTGTGCATTTCCCCTCCCTGCTCCCCCCCCACCCCCCAGTTCCAGGCCCTCATTAGAACGTCAGCACAGCCCTCTGTCTGCCCACACACCGTGCCCCAGGGTATCCCCGCTCGTCTCTCCTCTCCCCAAACCTTCCATTTTCCTGTCTGTGCACCAGTTTGCCACTCTCCCTACCCCTCTC